GGGGGGGGGAGGTGCACGAGGGTTGCGTAGAAATCAGCGACATAAGTCGCTGGCACAGTGATCAGCAATCGTAGAGAGTGATTCTCGCAAAACTCTGAACCGTTTGTGATAAATGGAAGTGAAAGTAACGAAGCAAGTACCTTCACTTGGTTGGAATTTTGGAGCACGACTTTCCGACTTTGGACGAGATCATTGTTTTGAAAAGGTATTTTCTAGAAAGAGTGTGACGTAGTTACACGTTTGTAATTGTAAATGTAATTATGCACGACTTCAATATTCGACGATACTATAATATTAGAAATTGTCAGGCTTGCAACCGCAGATTTATAATCGGATATCTATGAATATCTAAATGCAATAATTTCGAAATAAAACAGAGCCGGAGGTTGTCGTCGCCCGAGGAAACAAAGCGGAATCGTTGGCGGGAGGCGGGGAGCCTGCTGTTGTTAGCAGGAAGAGAATGGTCAACCAGAGGAAAATGGAGGGATACGGATGTCAGGTAATTTATCGATTAAGTTGGATTAACGGGCGAGCACGTTAATAACCGGAAAATTGCAGAAAGAAACAGAGAAGGCGAGAGCAAAGAGAGAATCAAACGCGGCGCGGGCTAGCGGAGCGTAGGGTGTCGTGGGTGACGAGGGTGGCTCTCTCCGGGAGGAACAGTGCGAGTTGTAGGATGAGGACTAAGAGGTGGAGGACGCGGTAGACGAGGAGAAGGACGAAGAGGTGGAGGATGAGGAGAGGGTGAACGACGGAGGGAACGCCGAAGGGGTAGTGTAGGGCTAGAGCGGCCAGGGGGGGTGCGCGGGGCTGCGTCGTAGTCGCACGCACACGAGGACAGAGCTCGCGTGCAGCCCTCGCCTCAGGCTGCGGAGGAGCCTCGCAATTTAACCGGTTCGACATTCGCCTGGAGCTCGTAATTGGCAGGACGAATGAAAGAGCCCCGCGGACGAGGACGAGTGGTCGGGATTAACGATGGCGAATGGATCAGAAATTCTCCGCGAAAATAAAGTAGGTAGCCGGGTTGGCGGTGTGCGGTATAGGTATAGAGTCCGGAGCCGTAGGTACGAGCCTTTGTTTGTCGTTCGCTCCAATTACCTCCGGCCTCTCCCGGTAGCTTCATAATTAACTCCCACTCATTTAACAAACTTTACTTTTAATGTTTTAAAAATAGTAATTAGCAGTGGCGGCAAGAGAAGAAGAAGGTGGAGGTGCGCAGGAGGAACGCAGGGGCGGCGGTGGTGCAGGGGGTTGGCGGTAGAGAAGCTCGAACAGGAGGAGGTGGAGATGTATGAAGAGAGAGCAGGAGGAGGACGAGGAGAGGAAGAGGAGAAAGCAGGGCGACAGGGGGAGAGAAGGGGGAGGTTCGACGAGGAGGTAGACGAAGAGAAGGGGATGAACGAAGTGAAGGGATGCTGGTGGGGACGAAGAGGATGGAAGGAGAGTAAGTAGCAGTGGCGGCGGCGGCGGCGGCAGTGGCAGTGGCAGTGGCGGTGGTGGTGGTGGTGGTGGTGGTAATGCTGGTGGTGGTGATGCGGGGGAGTGTAGAGGGGGTGTAATTAACTATCATGCAACCCCTTCCCAACAGCAGCAGCCGGCGTAGCAAGGAGGTAATTGGACCGGAGTCTTATACGTGTGGAGCTCCGCTGGAGGGAGGAGGGGGGAAGAGGCTGCCAGGATAAAGGGTTGCTTAAAATTGCACACAGTGCTGCATTATGGAACCTCTGACGAGC